TTTGGAAGTTAGGAGACCAGGATTCAGAACTGTGCTTGAATTAAGACTGTTAGTAATTTGAATAAAACCTCCATCTTTTTCTTCTATTTTTTTTTCTTCCCTGCAGATTTGTTCTATCTCTCCATGCTTGATTGATTTCTCCAGCTTGTAACTTATTGTAAGATCAGGGCTTATTAATCATAGGTCTTCCAGGCAGTTTTAAAGGAATGTGATGTGTTGTTTCATTTCTGTAACCGCTCTCACTTTTTGATGAAATGATGGTGTATAGCCAGTTGTGGTAACTCTTTTAGGAGGGGAAAAATACTCCTAGTAGTGTGTCAGCCAGCTATCGTAGCCTCTCTCTCTTTGTCTGAGAAAGCCTGCCCTCTTCTGGGTGAAGTTACAACTGGATAAATTGTCAGGACTGCAGTGGAACTGCTTGAGGTTGTTCTCCTTTGTTGGGAGAAGCAGTTGGCTTTCCATGGACAGCTTTAGTGGGCCACTGTATTGATACAAAATTCCATGTAGCTGTGGACTTTCTGTTACAATAACAGTAAGGGATAAAATTTGTTGCATTAAGGTTTCAAATATATGTCACTTGTACTGTGTTCTCTGTGGGGGTGTGTGTATATCTATCTATCTATCTATCTATCTATCTATCTATCTATCTATCTATCTATCTATCTATCACTTAAAAAAAGATTATGGAAATATGGGCTTTCCTTATTTCTAAAAATTTTGCATTCCTGTGAAATTATGTCTCTCCACAACTCTTTTTTTTCCTATCAGATCAGAATTCTTTTTGTTAATTCCAGATTTCTTTTTAGTTACCTCTTTCTTTTATGTTCTAAAAATATCTTTTTGTTGTTTTTTAGCTCCTTCCCTAGCTGACAGAACACCAGCAGCTTTGATCATCAGCATCATAAATTGACAAAGGTAATTAACATTTTAATAGGGTTGTAAGGTAAGTGACAGACCAAATTCCTAGAGCATAAAAAAAAATGAAGAAAGTGAAGTTTCTAAGGCAGTCCTGGGTTCAGTTCTAGAAAATATATACTGTGACCTGTAATCATCACGATGACATTTGAAGACCTACATTAAACAGATTGATTGCAATTCACTCCTGAAGGAGCAGGTGTTCCCATCTCATCAAAAAGGCCAAAAGCTCGCCTGGAATCACCAGGTACCTGCTCAGAGCCTAGCATTGGAACCCTTGTGGATTGGTAGGGTCACAAATACAAGAGTTCCATTAAAGCAGGCAGCTTGTCTCTGTGCTTAGCCAGCTAGTGAAAAAAAATCTGGGTCTTATACTTTAAGGTAGCGCAATATTAACTCATGTCCGTGTTTGGAGTTCAGTTAGCATGTCTACATTATTTTAGTAAATTTGAATGTGGTTGTTTATAATGCTCCAAAGCTTTAAAAACTTGGTCATAGAACAAGATCATGCTGTGCTAAGAGCTTGCACAGCATGTCGTTACTCCAAGGAACATTTAGTCTAGCCATAAGACAAGATAAATTGATGGATAAAGGGGACATACTGACATAATGCTACAGCATTGGCCAGCAGGACAGACAGCAAAATTTCTGATCGTATCCAGATAGATTGTTGTACACATCCTGACATAAAATTTTTACTTAAAAATGCCACGTTCATGCGATGTTACTGGAATACTTGAGTTGTACTGACAGTGAAAGCTAAACACAGAAAATGTAGTCACCACCTTGCTCAATCATGTGTACTTTATTGCCTTGTTAGATAAAGCTGCCCCTTGGCAGCCTTTCCCCATCATCTTTGTTTTATTAATGAGTAGTTTTGCCTTGCATTTTGAAAAGGCCTTTCCTCTTCTGGCAGACCGTGCTTTCTGGGGAAGCTAATGCTGGTTGTATATGAGATAAGTGATGACTTTCAGCATGGGAAAGATGTGTAAGTAATTTATGAATTAAAGCTTTTTATAGGGTGTTGAACAAACACACCCAAGTACAATAGAATGAGACTATCTGGTTACATATTTTTTAAATAAATTATTTTCTTTCTACTTGTATTTATGAAAGTAGTCCAGCCCAGGGTCTCTTTCATCACAAAATGATGGCAAAAAGCAAATTCTGTTGGGAAGTTTCTGGTCTTCTGTTTAACCCCATTAGGGTTTAGAGTTCTACTTCATTGAGACAGTGGACATGCTGGTGAAAAAATTTTGTTATGCTTCAGTGTAGCAGGTCTGTTGTTGTGAGATGCATGACTGAGATGTTTTAGGTGTTCCTCTGGCACTGAGGACAAGATTAAAAACTATGGAATACACTTCCTTTTGATGTTACTGGAGAAATACCTATTAACTTCCATGGGCCCAAGTAATTGCTCTGCTTTAGAACTGCATTTATGTTATTAAAATTTTATTATTTTCAAAGAAAAAATATAAACTTTGCCTATTAGTATTTTGTATTTTATTTACTTGGAAAATAATCAGAATGGTTAAAACAAAGTTAAAGCAAAGGTAAAATTGGAGGTAGCATAGCCAAAATCTAACTCAGTTGGGTATGCTTCTGCCCTTAGTTTTAAGGACAGTCTCAGAGAATAAAAGCTTGGAAAATGTTGCTGCCTAAATTAGTCAGCTTTGTTGGGGAGCTTTCCAAAGACACATTGCTGCTACCAAAATCTATTTGCAGAACACTTTATAGAAAGTAGGTAGTTTGAAGTCAGCTTTTGAGTAACTTAATATAGGTAGTCCAAGAATTTTAGTACAAAATTCTTTCATTTTATGTGGGGTTTTTTGTCCCTTACATTAACAACAAAATGAGGCAGAATGAGAAAACAAATATTGATCTCATTGGAAACCTGCTAATGTTTGATTTTTATGCTCTTTAACACAATTACTATGTTTAATGCCTGGCAGAGCAAGTGGAAAGAATATGTGTCTTACCAATATTTTAAAAGATTTTCCTCCTGTCCCTCTTTAGGGGTAAAATTATATTTGAATTATATTTTGTGCAGTTCCCGTTTTTACTCTGAAAAAGTAATTTAAACTCCAGTCTGATAAAGATTTTGAGTTTATTTTGATGCCGTACAACCACGAGGGCGTCACTTGTGTTTTTAGCAGATCTTGGGAGGCATTTCCCTTGTCTTCTAGTGCACCTGTCAGACTTACAAAGTCAAATTGCTGAGCTCTGAACACTGCAGTGCTGCTCAACTGGGATGTCTGTGTAAAAACACACTGAGTTCTTTATTGCTCGTTCCCATTTCTCAACAGTGGACTGGGCTGAATCAGAGAATCTGTTGGAAGATTAATATTTTGATCCTTACTTTATTAGCCTCACTGAGATGCTATTGTATGTGAAGTGAATTTTAGTGGGAAACAGGTCTTAGTTCTCTGTTTAATCTTTGGTTTAATAAATTCCTCTGCCAACTACTTTCAACACTGATACTTCTTCACTTTATGCTTGTGCTGTTGAATTCTTTCCCTTCCTTCTCTTCCACCTCAAAACTCCAGAGTTCTGTCTTTTCTAACACCATGTGTTTTCACATTTCCTTTTCCTTGTGACATGATAAGTTATTCTCCTCTATTGAAGTTGAGACAGACAATGTCTGTCTGCTACAGAGCTCCTTTTCTTTGCAGCCAGTGTATCTCACTGAACAGAGTTGGTGATTCCTATTGTGTCATTTCACCTTTTACAACTTCTGTCTCTGAAAAACATTCGTATTTCTGATGGAGATCATAGTTCTTTACTCCGGTGTTCATTCTTAGGACCATTATCAAACTTATGTCTTCCTTTCCTCAGCTCTCCAAAAAGTCCAGATCAGTTCTGTCCTTTTTCCTTCATTTTATTGTTGCCACTGTGACTCCCTATCATTGCCTGAGCTAATTTACCACATCCTCTGTTAAAGTATCTCAAGGCATCTGCGAAGTTTGGAGGAATAGTTAAAAGTAGTTGCATTAGATGGTAGTAACAAACTTCTTGCAGGATAGTGTTTGTTTGAGGCCCTCTGAGATGTGAGAAAGGTAGAACAAGTGAGGGTGAAGGTGACCCAGTATGCATGGAAACCTCTGCTTGAATTGCATGATTTACCAGCACACACTCCACAAGGTGCAGTGCACAGTAGAGGATTCTTTTGCAAGATCATTCTTGTAATAAGAGCTACAGTTTCCAGAAAAGACACTTTTAAATCGAAATATACCAAAGTGTAACCACTTAAGTACCTTGTGTTCTTGTGGATGTTGAGTTCTGGGCATTTCAACCCCCTTGCAAGAGCGGTATTGCAAAATTGTTCTTGTCTGCATGTGATGGGGAAGTAAGACTGAGAGACTTGATCTTTTTCTTTTATCGTAGCCAATGTGAGGCCTTTACAAGTTAGGCAGTTGCCTAGGATATGGCAAAACAGTCCCGAGGGTGTCTTGAGGTGTCCTTAGGGTTTCTTCCTATCTGTCTGAAACAGGTTCACTCTGCTCTCTGTGTTCCACTGCTCAGGAAAGTCTGCAGTGCCAACAGAGCACAGGCTCTCCTTAGTTTTCACTGAAAAATATACACGATGTGTCCAGCATAAGATAGAGGAAGAGGCAGATTCCTTGTCGGTAAAGAAATATGAGGGAGGCGACCCAGTTTCCCCAACAACTCCCCTTCTCCTTCCCTATCCCATTAGCCCACATTCTCTTCCTGCCCAGCCCACCAGTGATGCCTAATCTCATTTACAGGGCTGCTGCCAGATCTGCTGGCAGCTGCAGTTTCTTGGCCGCTGCTTTCGGTGAGGGAGCCTAGCGCACCGAGGAAGAGGAGGAGAAGGAAGGAGGAGGAGGAGGAAGGCTGCTGCTGTGTGGCGGAGCGGCGGCAGCGGCAGCACCTTTGACGTGCCCGTCCCCCACGTGACGGCCGCTCCATTGCGGGGAGGGAGCTGAGCTGAGCTGCCGCCGCTCCGGCAGAGCACGGGAGAGCCGCAGCCTCGGCGGCGGCGGCAGCGGCAGCAGCGCCTCCGCCCGCAGTGCGTGTGTGTGCGTGTGTGTGATGAGCGATCGCCGCGTCCCTCCGCCCGCTGCCGGCTGACACCCACCGCGCGGGGCGCGCCAGGAGCCGCAGGAGCAGCCGAGGAGCCGCGGCCAGCGCGCAGTGACCTTGGCCCAGAGGTAACCGAGCGGGCGGGCTCCGCGCCCCTCCGCGCCCCCGCCCCGCGCCTCCCGCCGCGGAGCCGCGGCCCCGCTCCCGCCGGGCCCCCGGGCGGCGCCGCCGCTGCCGCCGCTGTCCGCGGTGCTGGAAGGAGCTGCGGGCGCCGCGCCGGGCTGCCCGCGGGGGAGCCGGTCCGGTCCGGTCCGCCCGGCCTTTGGCCGCCCGGAGCCGCGCAAACCCCGCGGGCGCTGCCGGGGCAGCGCGGGCCGGAGGGCGGACGGGGGCCAGCCAAGCCCGAAGGTGAAGGGACTCGGGGGCTGGGGAGGGCTCGGGAGGTTAGCGCTTGGAGTAGGGCTCGGCGGCTCTCCGGGCTCTCCGCATCCGCCGGTGTGGTCTGTAGATGGAGCACATTCTTACACCTGCGTGCAAAGCCGGAGCTACGGCATGATCCGAGCTCTTGCTCAGTGCAGCTCCCGTGTGACCCGGGGGAGGGCGGGGAGGAGACGGGGCTGGCAGGGAGCCGGTGTTTGGCGGTAAAGTGCGATGAAAGTAGGTGAAAGCAACCGGAACAGTGTTCTGGCTTGGTTCTTCATTTTCCCTCGTCACCTGCTCCCCTGCCCCGCCGTACGTACGAGCACAGATGGGCTGGTGAATTACAGGGAGGTTCAAAGCGTCTGGTTTGCTTTTCGTGCGTTTGACTATTGTGAAAGTTGCTATGACCCGAGCTGCGAGCGGAGGGCACTGCTGAATCCACGTCACGGGCCGAGTCAGCCCTCACAAAACTGGCCTGGAAGGCGCAGAGCGTCCCTTGGTGAGCTCCGTGCAGGGGAGGAAGAAACGCTTTGTGAGGAGGCGTCTGTGTGATGTGGTGGTTAGCGGTGTGTCAGGGAGCTGCTCCCAGTGACAATTCATTAATGTTTAAATTAGATCAACACGTTACATCCATAATTTACCGGCAAAAGAGAGTAATGACAGTAAATGGCGAATTAGGAGCTTCGCTCCCGTGTAAATATCTGTTGGAGTGAGAGCATACGCTGATTTTGATAACGTGTTGGTAGAAAGTCAGGTCCATTAATCATCAGGGAAGCAAGGAGACCTGAGGCGATGCCCTATTGAAACCACTTTTACCTTTTACAGTGCAGCATCCAAAAGCGGATCAAATTTGTGGGACATGGCACAAGGAAATAATTATGGGCAAAGCAGCAATGGGGTGGCTGATGAATCCCCAAACATGCTGGTGTACAGAAAGGTAAGCCTTTGTATTTTTCAGAAGCTGAGGAAGGTGAAGTCCTGGACTTTTTTTGCCTAGCAAGTGAAGCCATTATTTTTGTTTCTCTCCAATTTCTTGAATAGAGAAATTACTGTATCTGTTGAATGGTTTGAAATGGTAAAATTTGCACACGTCAACTTTGCATATTGTTCAGAAGCAGCTGCTTTTCAATTTGAGATACTTGATGTATTTCAGTCACTTTCTGCATTGATACATATGATATGTGATGGTGGTGATGTGCCAGAGACTGGACCATGTTTTCAGCTCAAGTGTTCACTTTAAAAGTTTTATTTGTAAAATGATTTCATATGTATTAAAGCTAAATATTAACTGTACAATACAGTGTTTCTGTCTTGTGCAGAGAAGTTTGGAACCATTAATTTATTTCATATGAGGGGAAAAACTGATTAAAGATTTCACTTATCTGTGATTGCCACAAGTCAAAAACCCCCCAAAACCATACACTTTAGAATTTTTCTCTGGGAAGACTTCTAGTGTAGTTATTCTTACAACATCAATACACTAAATTTCCAGGTATTGAACTCTAATAGTGAGGCTTATTTAGTGATTATGCTTTAATTTAAGTGAGAGTAAATGTTTGGAGATTTTGAGTTATACGTTTGTTTTTTTTTTTTAAAAAGTCTTAATTGCATCGAAGAAAAAGGAATAACAACATAAATTCCAATAATAGTGGAGAAAAAAATAATTTTGCTGTTGTAAATTGAAATAAGTAATTATACAACTGCTTGTTTATTCTTAGAACACAGTGCTTCTTAACTTGTTTGTGGTTGTTTTTACCAGGTGGAAAAAAATCAATACTTTACTTTGTTAGAGGCATTGACTTTTCCCCTTACAAGTTAACTATAATAGAAAACATCTGATATATAATCAGTTTAGTCTTTGAGGTGAACTGAAGTATAAACAGTAACTGTGGTAAGTGTTCTTTTCCCAGAAATTAAAAAATAGTCTCAAATTGAAGTCTGATGCATGCTTTTTTTCTCTTCATGTTTTCAGATACATTGCTGATTTCACTTAGTTTGTTGTATCTGCTGTTTTGTGAAATTAGGTTCCTTTTTACATAAGTGAATGTGGTTATCCCTCTATGAATGCACATCTAGAAAAATACAGGATTACCTTGCCATTAACAGCACAGGTGTGTTTCAAAAGGCATTTGCATACATGAAAATGTGCTGTACATATGAAAAGCAATATACCAGATCTTATATTGTTTGTTATAGGTTTTTGGTCTTTCTAAACAGAATCTTTCCACATTTGCCATTTACTTCAATGCTGGCAAAAAGGTCTTTTCTCCGCTTATTTAGGACACAGAAGGACAACACAGAGAAACTGTTTTTCTCTTCCTTTGGTGAGTTTGGTAAAATTTGTGGTAAAATTTGTCACCTATGGTGTTTAGTATGACCTCATGCCAAAATTTATCATGGCCTCAGGGCAGCTTCACCTCTGAGCAGCATCCAGATTGAATGAACAGCTGAGGGAAGTGACGAGAGTCCTGGTGGTGCACAGGAGATTTGAAAATGAGGAGTGGGAATAGGACACACAACCTCAGGTGTATGCTCAGCAAATCAAGACATCAAACACCTCTTTTGTTCTCTGTGATACATCTGCAAAGGGATGATATGAATTTGTGTCCTGCAGTGCAGCAGTAGTCCTTCCCTTGTTGTCACTAAGTCACTAAGAGCACAAGTTATGCTCTGAGTATTAAACTTTGAAAAATACTGACCTTCTACAGCATTGCCTGCCCTATTTGTTTGGTTTTTGGGTTTTTTTTTTTTTTTTTGCCTATTTATTTTTGTAGCACAGTGAATTAAAGATAATTTCAGATTATGCACACTGTGTTAGAGTAGGTAGAGAAAACTGAGTAGCCCTTCCTTTGGCAGTACTCAAGAAACAGGCAGCAAAATAATAGATAGCTTTTCAAGAAGTTGTCTGCCTTTTCTTGAAATAGGATATTGGTGTAAGCAAACATGTTCTAAATTCTGGGTCTGGAACATAAAAGGAAGATAGTCAGGTGGAAATCATGTCACTTTAGAGTATAACATCTCTGAGTATAATTCTTTAATAGGAACAACTAAATCACAGGATTCCTTGTAATACATTTGAAAACACAACACTTCTCTCTCTGTCTGTCATTGTGTTGGGAATGAAAGCACTGTATGAACAAAGAACTAGATCTGACAGCTTTGTGAAGGACTTTCTTTTTTGGCCAACTGGAAACGTATGAACAGTTTTTAGAAAAAAATATAAACATGCTACTGGCTGGGTTCAGTCAGAACTGAATTTGAAGTCTTATATTTTGAATAATGTTGTCAAAATGCACAAAGGTGGAAATGCTTTCTTCCAGTAGTTTATACATGAACAGATGGAAAAGCACACATTTTGTGATATCTGTACTGGCAAAGAATAGATGGGATATCTCTTACTTATGTTAACGGAGAGTTAAAATTTGGCTATGCTGTGAAGACTGTTATTTTGGCTATAAACCATAATTTTGTAATCTGGTAATTCTTCCAGTCTGTCTAACTTCCAGACACAATCTGAACTAAATATGTTCCTAACTACATGGAGTTATAGCCCTGTATTGCCTAAATCCTGATTCTGTCAGGAGCGTTGTATAAAAAATTTTATGCAGAATCAAATCTTAGTGTTTTCAAATTTGGTTTTTAAGGCTTAATTGTCTCAAACTCTTGACAAAAAAGGATGGTTTTCTATTTTTTAAAATACATTTTTTTGATTAGTTGCTTATTTGAAGAATTGAACAATTGATAATCAATTTGTAATCTCAAGTAATTTAGAGTGTAGCTAGTATCTTATTCTCATAGTAGCTTTTATTCCTAGCTGAACAGTGGTTTCATTACATTTTGCTTTCAAAAGAGAATTAAAAAAAATCAGCATAGGATAATTCAATATGCAATACACACATAACTAAGAATAACTTGCTTGAATCTGGAAAAGACAGCAGCACAGATAAATAGTTCCCTATATAATTTTTACTCTGCCTTTTAAGATGCTTGTGTCAGTGTTTTTAGGCCTTGGGGAATAATTTTTATTTTAATAGGATGTCAGCTGCATTATTCTTTTTGTCTATCAGCCTAATTATAAAGTAATGACATGTGACACATCATTGGCACTGACATACCTTAGAAAAAGTCCTGAATTTTTCTGCTGGTAGCCTGAGGCAAATATGAAAAATGTAAAACCCCTCCTTTCATTTCTTCTCTGACAGAGTCCATTCTAGTCAGCAATTAAAAGAGATAAGAGACTGAAATCCCTAGTATTTTAACATCACAAATTGCTCATGCAGAAATCTCATATTTTGGCAACACTAACTTGCTGCTGCAAGCTAGGTCTTTGGGAAGAAACTTCAGATGTAGTAGTGTAGTAGAAGGCCCATACTGTGGAGTTTTTCTAAGTTTCAGAGCCTGACCAGCCTTTTCTTTTTTTTAAATAGTTTTAAATCTCTGTGCACAATTAAAAGAATAAGAGTTTCCTGTTAGGAACTTCTGTTTTAGACCTACTACTGGTCTTGCTAAATCTTTCTTTATTTTTCTGGTCTGTGCTTTGCTTACTTTTTCAGTCAAACATATGCTGCAACTATTAGGAGTCCTGATTTGCAAGTTTAATGGTTTTTGTATTGCTGCCTGAACTAATTTCATTTGAGAGCTGATAGCTTTATTTTGTAGCAATAAGATTATCCTTGTTTGAAAGGTAATATTCTTGTGGCTGAGATTTTGGCTCTCTACCTTCCTCACTGCCCCAAGTATTAAAATAGCTTTTGCCAAGTTTGATTAAAATCACTGACAGTGGGGCTTTTATAATCTAATAAAGATAATGAGGTGTTTGTTCTGTTTCTGTGACAGTGGTGGAAGGTCATATATGTAAGTACTCATGTATAACAAGGGCTGACTTTGTAATCTCAAACTCCTTAGTTTATCGTGATCTGATATTCTCCATAGAAACCATGCCTCCAAAGCCTGATACTTTCCAATGTTGGTGCAAAGGGGCAATAGCTGCAGGAGCAACACCTGAGGAAACAGTGACACCATCTTTTAATAACCATTCTGCATCTCTGCTTCCACCAGCGATGACTTCCAGTGTAGACTGCAGATAGTGCTGTGTTCTCATGTGGCCTTTGTTAACTGCTCCCTGAAAAGATTGTTGGAAAAAAGTGATATCATGGATAACTGTGTTCCTTAGAGCCTGCAAGACTAAGGAAGGACATTTTAGGTGGATTTTTCTGGTGCTGTCACTCACTTTGAGAAGAGAAGAATCACTCTGGTACTACATGTTTCTGAATATGCCATGACATTCTATGAGGGCATCTTGTTTGTTACTACTTTGGAAAATTCAGGGTGCTCTAAGGTATTTAGAGATAAATTGTGTGGGGTGGTTTTTTTTTTTTTTGTGTGTGTGTGTGGTTTTTCCTAGTGTGTTTATACAATTTTTTTAAAAAATATTATATTACACACCAGATTATGCTGTTTCTTCTTCTGAGAAGAAGAGTGGCACTGATGTGAGTCTGGTTGATGGTCTTGGTGTTATTCCAACACTCATCATTTTAGAATTGGTGGGGAAGGAGCTACATTTGTGAATCTTGGGAATTCCTGCTGTAGTAAGAAAAGAATTTATGTTCCTACCCAATAAGTCATGAGGAAGTTGTAGTCCTGGAATAGCTGGTTGATAGTGAAGTAAGATTTTGCACAGGGAAATTTAGGGAACAGGAACTTAATAGAGATGGACAGAATAGATGCTAGATGCTATGGAGTGCCTTTTGTTTTCCTATATGCTCTCACCCTAATGTTTTGTATCTATCCTCTGTGCAGATTCACTCGGCTGTTTTCTCTCCTGGAATGGTTCTAGTTAGTGCTAGGTGTAGCATGTATCTAAATTTTGTCATCATTTGTGATAAAAGCAATATAAAGGATTTGATTGTCTTCACAACTGTATAGAATGACTGAAAA